AGAAAATTTTTGCCAACTATGCATCTAACAAGGGACTAATATCCAGAAAATACATAGTACTCAGAGCAATTATACAGTAAAAAAACAAATGACCCAATTAAAAAATGGGCAAAGGAGCTTAATAGACATTTTTTTTTCCTTTTTTTTTTTGTCTTTTTTCGTGACCGGTAACGGGATTGCAACCCTCGGTGTCGTGCCCGTACCGCGACTGGCAACAGGATCGCAACCCTTGGTGTTGCGTCCGCACCACGCTCAACCAGTGAGCGGATCGGTCTCTATGTGGGATCCGAACCCTCGGTGGGAGCGCCTCCGCACTCTACCGAGTGCGCCACCGGGCCGGCCCAATAGACATTTTTCAAAGGAAGACATACAAATGGCCAACAGATACATGAAAAAATGCTCAAGATCACTAGTCATCAGGGAAATGCAAATTAAAACCACATTGAGATACCACCTCACTCCAGTTAGACTGGCTATAATCAAAAAGACGGTGAATAAAAAATGCTGGTGAGGGCGTAGAGAGTAGGGAGCACTACTGCACTGTTAGTGGGACTGTAAATTAGTACAACCACTATGGAAAACAGTATGGAGGTTTCTCAAACAACTACAGATAGATCTTCCATATGACCCAGCAATGCCTCTTCTGGGTATGTACACAGAGGAATGGAAATCATCATGTTGAAGAGATACATGCACTCTCATGTTCATCGCGGCTCTGTTTACAATAGCCAAGATATGGAACCAACCTAAATGTCCATCTAGGGATGATTGGATAAGGAAACCATGGTGTATATACACTATGGAGTACTACTCTGCCATAAAAAAGAATGAAATACTCCCATTTGCAACAACATGGATGAACCTGCAGAAACGTATGTTAAGTGAAACAAGCAAAGCACAGAGGGATAAATACCTCATGTGCTCACTCATATGTGGGAGCTAAGAGAGAAAAGAAGGCAGGAAAGAAAGACCACAGTAGTGCCGCGATCCAACAGAGGGAGGGGACATTCCTGGGGCTACAAAGTGGAGTGGGGGGGGGGAGAAAAGGAGGGGGAGGGATACAAAAGTAATTTCTGGTAATGGGTATGTCCCCAGTATGAATCTGGCCCTCACATCATGGGCAGGAGGGAGGACAATTAGCTTTGTATCTCATGAATATTCTTAATAAATAAATAAATTTTTAAAAAGAAAGGCGGCCTGTCCTTCTCCTGCGCCTTCCAAACCTCGCAGGAAGCCTCCAGCCGGAACTATGCGGGGAAGGGGATTCCGGGCAGAGGGCGCGGGCTTCTCTCCTGCGGTGCAGCGAGAAGGGGGACAGATGCAGCGGGGTGAGGGGTTGACTGTGGGCTGCAGGGCGCCACGTGGGACATGCACCTGGCACGGCTGGGTTTGCCTGGTTTTTCCTAACTGGATAGTGCTGAACGGTTTTCAGCGTGCTGCTTTTCCCACTCAGCAGGCCTTCACTGGAATCCCCCAGATCGAGTGTATGTGCGAGTCCATCTCCTCTAATGGCTGAGTGATCTTCCAGATGTGGATTAGCATAACAGAGCCGGCCAGTTCCTGACCAGCGGGGCAGTCCCCGACACCCCGCGCCCTGCAGCCACCCTCCACGTCCCGTCCTCGCTGCCTCCGAGAGGCGGGCGTCTCTCTCATCTGTGCTGCTGCCATCGCCTTCTACCGCTCTGTCTGCCTCCAGTTTTGCCCGGTTCTGATGTAGTCCCTGCTATTTAGCCAGAGTAACATTTCTTAAATGCGAATACTTTATTTTTCTAAACTCAGAATCTCATCGAGTCCCACTCCTGTTGAAAATGCCTCAGTGACTCATCTATGAGCCTGGGGTCGTCCCAGCCCCACGACTGCTGTCGGTGACCTCCGGGGTGTCTCCCTCCTGCCATCTCCTCCTCCCTCCTGCCGTCCGTCCCCAGCGTGCTCTCCTCTCCGCCGTCTGATTCATCCTGTCTTACTGACCTTCACTTCCAGGCTTATCCAGATGCAGCCTTCTCTCCAGCAACTTCCTCTCCCCGCTCACCTGTTCCTGGGCTCTTACTAGTAGAGCTTTTACTCTTTCTTTGCGTTTCAGCCTAAAATGATACTTCCCCCAGACAGCAAGGTGTGAGGGAGGTATGTCAGTGACCTGGAGCCGTGATGCCCAAAACAAGGTCAGGGTCAAGGAAATGGTAGCCCCCAAAGCTTAGGTTTTAATCAAGACAGGCCAGGATTTGAATCTCACCTCCATCACTTACTAGTTGGATTTCAACCACAAGTGATAGAAGTTAGACATAAGCAGACTTATAATCAATGGTAACGGTAGTAACTACATGTATTATGTACATGTGCTAAGAACTTCACAAACACTGTCTCTTTGTCTCATTTCACCTTCATAAGAATTCTCATTAGATGAATTCTATTATCCCAACTGTACAGAAAAGGAATCTGAGGCCTAGTGGGATGAAATGACATATTCACTGTCATAGAATTAGTTAGCAGGTGGACTGCGGGCTCAAAATCGGGCTCCAGAGCCGGTGTCCTTGACTGATGTACTGCACTGCACTCCTTCCTCAAACCAGCATCCCAGCTTCAGGGGCAAGCCGCCTGTGGCCACCCAGTCACCCACCCTTGGGATTCCACCTGGCTTTGGCCATTCCACCATGTGCAAGTTCAGCCACTGTGAGCCTCTGTGCCCCACCTTCTCATCCTGACTCAGTGTCACCTCTGTTGGGGCCACAGTAACTTAAAATGGAGACGATAAAAAGGGAGCATAAAGCATATGCTCTGAGCACCAAACCCTACTTCCAGGCTGCCAGGGACACACCCCTGTCCCTGCCCTCTAGATTTCCTGGTTTTAGATATGGCCTGTGTACCCACCACTGCCAGGCTAATCACCTGGACATCCCCAGTGCATGCATCTGTAAGTCACCACTCACCATCCTGGTCCTCCCGAGCTGCTGTGTGTGGACTGTGCAGAGTGGGGGGCATATCTTATAGGCTCCAGCTCCCTAAACAGCTGGCAAGTGTACCTGTTGTCTGTCATCTTCTCTTTTCAGTCCGTTGGCCTCTGGGACCCTTCGCACATCCATGGACACTAAAGCACTGAGTCCTCAAGACATTCTTTCAAACTCAGAAGGGAGCAGTCGGGAGCGAGCCTTCTGCGGACAGTGCTACCGCCTCCTCCTCTCCCCCATCCTCATTCTCACCTCACTGGCTGCATCTGCCTGCTACCATGTGCGACAGAGGTTACATCAGGAGGGATACAGGGCAGGCACAAAGGAAAGTGAATGTGGGTCAGAGCAGTGACGAAGTCGTGAGCAGGTCGGCAGATCAACAGAGTGAGGGGTCAGGGAAGGAGAGCAGGCAGACAGGCCCTTGCTGATGGCTGGACACCTCCCTGCCTTCCCAGTGTTGTGGCAGTTGATCCTTTAAAGGTGTGCACAGTGGAAACACACCCTGTTCTGCAGCACAGGCTGCCCCACTGAGGTCACCGGTGGTAACTCTGCTCCTGCCTTCAACTTGAGCCTGAAAGGACTCGTGCTGGGAACTGTAAACAGGGGCTCTAGGAAGGCTGTCCTGTAGGAAGTAGGCAGGAGAAGCAGGACAGGCTCTTTCCTGTGGCTGGGAGAAGGCTGCTGGGGCAAGAGTGGGCTGGATCCCGGGAGCAGTGCCAGCCAGCAGGGCCGGGTGGCTACAACTCTGCAGGGTCCAGGTCTCGTACCTGGGGCAGCCCTGCAGGCAGGATGCAGCTCAGTGGAAAGAACCCGCACCCCATGGTGTACCCAGAGAGGGACTGCTGTGACATGCCAGGATAGCACCTGCTCCTCACTGTGGCTGGGGGATGATGATGCTCCTGCTGCACTCAGAGCCCCTCAGGTGCTCCACACGGCTGTTCCTCTCCTCTGCCATCCCTCCACATGGCCAGAACCCATCCTGCAGTGTCATTGCTAAGATGCATGCCCAAAGATGTATTTGTATGTCTGCACTTCATGATGGAGCTAGGGTGGGGGGGTTCTCTTCCTCTGCCCCTTCTCCTTGACCTTCCTCTTTGACATGGGTTTGACCCTTCCTTGCCACTTGTCCCCCCAGTCCCTGCTCTAGAGCAAGATGCACACCCAGGTCATCGCCCCTACTAAGGCAGGAGTCCCCTAAGAGCAGGGCCCTGTCCTTCTCTTAGAACTCAAGCCCTGGAACATTCAGGCCCATTTGATAGTCACTACCTCTCAGATTCAAAATTTCCAGGTTTTGGTCACATAGGTAGTATTTGTCCACTGTGACTTTGTACACTATGGTTGTTAATCATGTATATGAGTGGATGTACATTCTCTAATTTCTTCTTTAGTTTGGTCACTTAAATCAAATTTGTCATAGCCATCCCCCACCCCAACCCACTGCTAACACTAACAATAATGGAGGCTGCATTATATCTGTGCCCCCCCTATTAACATCTACTAAGGTCCACCAGGCCTGCTGTTTTTGTTAGATGACTCAGATGGTTTTAGTTTGCTTCTATCATCACCTGAGATGGTGCAAAGATGCTTCTGTTATAGTCTTTGCTAGCTGATTATGGAGGGAAAAGTATGATTAAATTATAAATGACTGTGTAATGTGATTTAAATGATATGATTAATAGTATCGAGTCTTCAAGAGAAAAAGTAGAAAGACAAGAGGAAGATGTTCAGAATTTGTTTTATACATTTAAAACCTCATTTTACTGTATATATATATATCATTCAGAATAAAATTAGTCCATGTAGCTAATACCTGCAATTCAGAGCTAATCAGAAGAGGACAAGATTTTATTTGCTCCTTAAAATTAGCACATGTGGGATCATTAAGCCAGATGCAGTGTTTCATGAAAGCCACCAACTCTCAGAGTCAGGAGTCAGAGCCCCCACGCTGCCTTCAAGCCCCCAAAATAGCCCCCCTAGTGCTGCTAAGTGTCAGCTCCACCCCAGTCGTGGTGGGGGGCAACTGATCACTCACACCAGGTCGGGCCCCTCTCCCAGTGCGGGGCCTGGGCTCTGAAGTCTACCTCCTACTCAGGCCGTCAAACAAGAGAATTCCTCCCAAGCTTCCGTTTTTCCCATATTAAACTTAGAAGAAAAAGTAAAACCCTGAGCAAGAGCTCAGATGTTAGGGATTCTTTTTATATATTTATTTATTTATTACTTTATACTTTCCTTCCCTCAGAGACTAAGCTCTACACTTGATTTTCAAAGGGGGATATGCTAATCAGGAATGTAACATTTCGATGGTGTGTGTGTGTGTGTGTGTGTGTGTGCATACTAACAAATCTAAAGACTGTAAGACTGGATATATACACGGCCATCCCTCATATGGGTGGGGGATTAGTTCCAGGACCTCCCTCAGTTGCCAAACCCATGGATGCTCATGTCCCTTATAAAAAATAGCATAGTATTTGCGTAGAACCTATGCACATCCTCCCATATACTTTAAATCACTCTAGATTACTTATAATACATAACACAATGTAAATTATATGTACATAGTTGTACTGTATTTTTATTTGTATTATTTCACTGTTATATTGTTAGCCTTTATTTTTATTTTTTGAATATTTTTGACCCATGGTTGGTTGAATCTGTGAATGTGGAGCCCACGGAAGAGGAGAACCGACTGTAGTCACGTGTTTCAGATGGACATCAGTTATGCTGTGAAATTCTACTTTCAGAGATTGTGCAGAAGGCCATTTTACCCCTTTGAAGAATGAAAACTACTGATGGAAAGTTTATTCATTAACGTGGTCATGGAAAACCCTTCTTGCCACAGTTTTTTCCTATGATGAGACCATTATTAGTGCATTAATATTGTAATCTCTTGTCATTTCTTGTCCACAGGCAAAAACTGGGACCTGACAGCTGCTCTAAGTGACTATGAACAGCTCCGACAGGTGCACACAGCCAACCTGCCACATGTGTTCAATGAAGGGAGGTGCCCCAAGCAGCCAGAGCGAGAGCCGCCGCAGCCCGGGCACAAGGTGGAGCGGCCCTGCCTGCAGAGGCAGGACGACATTGCTCAAGGTACTGGCAGAGGGACTGCACCTGGGCCAGTGCGCCACAGCTTGCAGGCGGGTGGGGTGGTGCAAAGGTGGCGGGGTCCGCACCTCCTAGCTGCAGACAAATTGGACTTCCGGGGCATTGTTCTCACACTATACTGAAATGTCCTTTGCACTTTCCATTCCTGGCCCCTCCGTCTGCCTCAGAAGAGCAGGAGAGAGACTCCAATGCCCCAAGACCCTGACAGCCCTTGAGGTAGTTAAAGACCAGCATTCCTCCTGGAGTCCTGGTTTCCCGAGACCAAACATCTCTGGTTCCTCCACTTATTTCCCAAGTAGCATAGTCTCCAAATCTGCCCAACATCCTGCTGATTTTTCCACGTGCTCCATCATCAATTTTCTTTTTCTTCATTACAAAAATAAGATATGCTTATTGTAACACAGGAAGTCATGCAAAAACATATGAACAAAACTTAAGAGTATTCTTCACACCTCCCAAGTCTCACTGAAGTCACACCCACTGATGACACCTCGTCCACCTCCTCCAGCTATGCTTGTTCAAAAGGCAGACACATCAGAAGTCAAATACACAGCATACTTTGCAAAATGCTTGTGTCACTGAGCAATATAGATCATGCACATGTTCACTTAATAGCCACATTTCTTCTAAAGCTACATTCATTCTTCAATCATTCCTGTATTAATGATTATTTTGGTTTTTCTAAGGTTTTGTTGTTTGTTGATTTGTTTGTTTTTGCCAATCCAAGAAATGTTGAAATAAATGTCTTTACACCTGTAATCTTCCATACAAGTGCTTTTCATTCTATAGGTTAGCATTCCCAAAGTGGATTTGCTGTGCCAACATGTATGTGTTTTTAATTGAACTTGAGGACTTTTTTCCAAACACATTTCTGCTTGCTGTGTGTGAGACTGGGTGTTTCCCTTTGTTCCTGCCAGCAGTGGGATTTATTACTCTGGTTTCACATTGGTTTTATCCTCTGAAAGCTGAAAATGGTGTCTTATTTTAACTCCGATCTTTTTTGGGGGGTTACATTTTTATTTTATTTTTTATTGAAACATAATTGGTTGCACATATCTGTAGGGTACAGCATTGAATATCAATACCTGTTATGTGCTGCTCAAATTAGGCTAATTACTGTATTTATCATTACACATGTATTCATCTTTTGTGGCCCTTTACCAATTTCTTGCTAACCCCCATCCCCCGCCCCTTTGCCCACTTCTGGTGGCCTCAGTTCCATTCTCTCATTTTGAAAGTTCAAGGAATTACTGTGATTGTTGTATCTTTCTTTTTTTTTACTTGTTTGTTTTTAACAAAATAACCACATATCCACATTTGTGAGTGAGGACATACAGTATTTCTCTTTCTGTGCCTGGCTTATCTCACTTAGCATAACTTTCCCTAAGTTCATTCATGTTGCTGCAAATGACAGAATTTCATTCTTTCTTATGTCAGAGTAGTATTCCATTGTGTTTTTACGACATTTTCCTTATCCATTTGTCCGTCGGTGGACATTTAGGTTGGTTCAATATCTTGGCTACTGTAAATAGAGCTGCAATGAACATGGGAGTGCAGGTATCCCTTCGACAGGATGATTTCCATTCCTTTGGGTGTATACCCAGAAGTGAGATTGCTGGACTACATGGCAGTTCTGTCTGTAGTTGTTTGGGGAACCTCCATAAGGCTACACCAATTTACAGTCCCACCAACAGTGTAGGAGGGTTTCCCTTTCTCCACATCCTCACCAGCATTTCTTATTCCCTGTCTTTTTGATAATGGCCAGTCTAACTGGCATGAGATGATATCTCAGTGTGGTTTTGATTTGCATTTCCCTGATGCTGAGTGATGTTGAGCATTTTTTCATGTGTCTGTTGGACATTTGTATATCTTCTTTTGAGAAATGCCTATTCAGCTCCTTTCCCCATTTTTAAATTGGCTTACTTATTTTTTTACTGTTAAGTTGTTTGAGTTCTTTGTATATTCAGATGTTAACCCTTTGTCAGATGCATAGTTTGCAAATAGTTTCTCCCACTCTGTAGGTTGTCTTTTCACTCTGTTAACTGTATCTTTTGCTGTGCAGATGCTTTTCAGTTTGATATAATACCATTTGTTTAGTTTTTCTTTTGTTGCCGGTGCTTTGGGGGTCTTATTTGTAAAGTCTTTGCCCAGTCCTACTCCTGAAATGTTTTCCCTATGTTTTCTTTTCATAGTTTTTTAGTTTCAGGTCTTATATAAATGTCTTTAATCCATTTTGAAGTGATTTTGATATATTAAGAGGTACAGGTCTAGTTCCTTTCTTCTACATATGGATATCCAGTTTTTCCACATCATTTATTGAAGAGGAAGTCTTCTACCCAATGTATGTTCTTGGTGCCTTTGTCAAAGATCAGTTGACTGTCAGTATGTGGGTTGATTTCTGGGTTCTCTATTCTTTGCCATTGATCCAAGTGTATGTTTTTATGCCAGTAACATGCTGTTTTGATTACTATAGCTTTGTAGTATAATTTGAAGCCAGGTAGTTTAATGCCTCTGGCTTTATTTTTTTGCTCAAGACTGCTTCAGCTATTCGGGGTCTTTTGTTGTTCCATATAAATGTTAGGATTTTTTTTTCTATTTCTATGAAGACTGTTGGTAGTAATTTGATGGGGATTGCATTGAATCTGTAGATCACTTTGGATAGTATGGGCATTTTCACAATGTTGATTCTTCTGATCCAAGAGCATGTGGTGTGCCTTTCCATCTTTTTGTGTCCTCTTTAATTTCTTTCAGCACTGATTTATAGTTCTCATAGTAGAGATCTCTCACCTTTTTGGTTAGATGATTCTTAAGTTTTTGTGTGTGTATGTAACTATAGTAAATGGGCTTACTTTCTTGATTTCTTTTTCTGCTACTTTGTTATTGGAGTACAAAAATGCTACTGATTTTTGCATGTTGATTTTATATCCTGTAACTTTACTGAAATTGTTTATCAGCTCTAAGAGGTTTTTGGTAGTCTTTAGGTTTTTCTGTATGTAGGATCATGTCATCTGCAAACAGGGACATTTTGACTTCATCTTTTCCGATCTGGATGAACTTTCTTTCTCTTACCTTATTGATCTGGCTGTACTTCCAATACTATGTTAAATAGGACTGGTGAGGGTGGGCATCCTTGTCTTGTTCCTATTCTTAAAGGAAAAGCAGAAAGCTTTTTTTTCCCCCGGGATGATATTGGCAGTGTATTTGTCATATCTGGCTTTTATTGTTTTGAGATACTTTCCTTCATACCTTATTTGCTGAGAATCTTTATCATGAAGGGATGTTGAATTTTTTCAGGTGCTTTTTCTGTGCCTATTGAGACAATCATATGGCTTTTGTCCTTGATTTTGTTGATGTGGTGTATCACATTTATTGACTTATATATGTTGAACCATCCTTGCATCGTGGGATGAATTCCACTTGATGATGATGTATAATTCTTTTATGTGTTGCTGTATTCTGATTGCTAATATTTTGTGGAGAATTTTTACATCTATGTTCATAGATATTGGCCTGTAGTTCTCTTTTATTTTGTTATATATTTGTCTGGTTTGGGTATGTGGGTGATGCTGGCCTCATAGAATGAGTTTGAGAGAATGGCCTCTGTTTCAATTTTTTTTTTGAATACTTTGAAGAGAATTGGTAATATTTCCTCTTTAACACTTGGTAGAATTCAGCAGTAAAACCATCTTGTCCTGGGCTTTTCTTTGTTGGGAGACTACTGATTATTGCTTCAGTCTTGTTGATTATTATTTGTTTATTCAGGTTTTCTGTATCTTCTTGGTTTCATGGTTCAGTCTTGGTAGTTTGTAAGTGTCCAGAAATGTATCCAGTCTCTCCAAGTTTTCAAATGTGTTGGCATATAGTAGTTTTTAGTAGTTGCTAGTGATTCTTTTTATTTCTGTGGTATTGGTTATAATGTCTCCTTTTTCATTTCTGATTTCTGTTATTTTAGTCTTCTCTCTCCTCCCCTTCCCCCTCCCCCTCCTCCTCCACCTACTCCTCCTTGTTAACTTAGCTACTGGTTTTCCTATTTTGTTTATCTTCTTTAAAAAAAAAAAACCAACTTTTTGTTCCATTAATCTTTTGTACTGTTTTTTTGGGTCAGTTTTTCATCTAGTTCTGCTCTGATCTTGTTTTTTTCCTTCTATCAATTTTGGGATTGAATTGTTCTTGTTTTTCTAGTTCTTTGAGGTATAACATTAGGTTGTTTGTATGAAGGCCTTCTGTTTTTCCGATGTAAGCATTTTTTGCAATAAACTTCCTCTTAATGATGCTTTTGCAGTATCCCACAGGCTTTGGTATGATGCGTCTTTATTTTCATTAGTTTCAAGAAACTTTTAATTTCCTGTTTAATTTTCTTCTTGGAACCATAGCTTGTTCGGGAGCATGTTGTTTAATTTCCACATGTTTGTATAGTTTCCAGAGTTTCACTCATCATTGATTTCTAGTTTTAATCTATTGTGATGTGGAAAGGTACTTGAAATGATTTCAGTTTTTTTTAATTTGTTGAGACTTGGTTTGTGACCTAACATGGTCTATCCTGGAGAATGTTGCATGTGCTGATGAGAAGATGTATATTCTGTAGTTGTTGGATGAAATGTTCTGTAGATATCTGCCAGGTCAAATTGGTCTAATGTGTAGTTTAAATCCTGTGTTTCTCAGTTGATTTGTTACCTAGATGATCTGTCCAGTGCTGAGAGAGAGAGGTGTTCAGGTCCCCAACTATTACTGTACTGGGTCTATCTCTTTCTTAAAGCCTAATAGTGTTTACTTTATATATCTGGGTGCTCTGATTTGGGGTGCATATATATTTATGCTTATTATGTCTTCTTGTTGTATAAAGTTCACTTTATCATTATATAGTGGCCTTCCATGTCTCTTTTTATAGCTTTTGGTTTAAAGTGTGTTTTATCCATTATAAAAATAGCTACTCCTACTTGTTTTTGATTTTCCATATCTTTTTTCATCCCTTCAGTATTAGTCTC